ATTTGATAACCACTTACACTCCCGCAAATCCGAAATTTTAAATTTTTTATAAAATATACGTCCTATTGAAAATCCAGGAGAAGATTAAAATAAACATAACGAAGAATCCTGATGAAATATTTTTATCGTTTTCAGGACTTCAAAATCTACAAAAAATAAAATTACAGATAGGATTCTTTTCAGATCTGTGTAAACCAGTGAAAATCGAGAGTTTTTAAAATGAAAAGCATGAAGTCCCATTACTTTCTCCTTTCATGAACAGCGATTGGCAATCATGCGGACAGCGATGCTTTTACCGGGCCCCAAATTTTTCCGCAGACATCCGTCGCTATTAATATGCACGATAGCGGTCTCGTCTTTCAAAAACCTCTCGACGGGATAAAGAATGATTTTCGCAAATGCACCCACTCAATCGGTGGTCCGGTTTTTTTTTTCTGAAAGGCTGTCAGGAATAATAAAAATGAAACCGTAAAATAGGCCTGAAATCCCTGTAGCACACTCTAAAGTTTGAAGAACATCCTTATTATATGTATAATCGTACCGCGTACCGTCTTTAAAATATTGCGGAATCCTGAGAGTTCCGTACTTATGAGCTACCGTAAAGCTAACAAATTGAGTGTAGTTTAGAGCCTCTTTTAAGCCGCTTCAAATTTATTTAAAATTAATCCCATCCTAATATTAAAAGTCTTTATGCGTGTAAATATTTGTATAGAGTCCTCTGTTCTCCTATTCTTTCTAATACCTCTTCATTTCTAACCTTCTCTATCCACGGTAACCTCATCATTCGCCTATTGGGATCCGTCAATACACCATCTAGTGGCAAAATTTATAACTCGAATGAGGGAAAAATTTACATAGGAACTGTGCACGCAAATTGTAAAATTGTTTATTAAAACAATAAAATACGTTAAAAAAGTAAAAAATTTTTTGATGATGGAGTCGACGAAGTTTTCTTCTAAAGTTAAATCAAATAAAAAAAGTTAATATGTTCAGTGAAAAGCTGCAATAGCACTTCAGACATAGATCTTCACTCTTCACCTGCATTAACTACTTTCCAATAAAAACTAGCCGTTTTATATATGTAAAAAATATATTCGGAAAATTAGAGAAAAAAGTAAACTAATAGAAGCTTGGATGAAAGCAGTAGGTATCAAAGAAGTGAATTCCGGAATAAAAATTTGTTCACGTCATTTTAATGCACATGATTATATTTCAGCAAGTATTTACCATCAGCCATAACCTTAATATTTAAAACTAGAATCATACTAAAATTATAAAGTGAGAAATTATTTATTCCTGTGTAATTGATTTAACACAATTCTAATGATACGATATAAGTATTTTGAGGTTAAGAACCTACCTGCTGCAATACAACAAAGTTGCAATAATGTGTTTGCAACGTTCTCTTAAATCGGCTTTGCACGTGCAAGTCATTGATATGATATTGCTTAAATCACCCAGAATCACCTCACCAATTATATAACGTGAATCACTTTTTAAATCCGAAGTTTGTAAAAAGTAGGCAGTAAACTTGACGGAATTTGAAGGCTAGCTTCCGGATTTGTTATTTCCGAATTTTATAATGTGATTGGCATTAAAAACACGCTCACCTTCAACGAAATTTCCTTTCCGAGGCTTTGTGTCAGCCCAATCACATATTGTGTCAATACTTATCATTTTATCGTAATTTAAAAACTTGGAAATTGCACGGTACACTATAGGAACTACGATAAATTTTCCCTAATCGGCGCCATGTTTTTAGGCTCCTCCCATTTGACGGATCCCAATAACACCACATTTCGAACGCTTCTAACCTTTTCTCTTCCGCAGCGCCCACCGTCATGCTTCGCACCGGTACAGCGCGAGGCTCCAAACATACACCTTTAACAATCCTTTCCGAATTTCTAAATCAACCGTTCGCGAGCATAGAAGGGATTTTCTTTTATAGAAGGCGACTCGACCCTGTGCTGTTCTCTGCTTTATATTGGGTGTGTTCCGAAATATAACCCAACATACTCGCCAGTGCTGATGACGTCATAAATCGACGCCATATTGTACTGGTGTGCCACCATATTGTACTGGTGAGACAAATGTAATGTAGTAGTATATCAAACGGGTGTGTGTGCATCAGACTATGAGGAATCTTTTATTGCAAGAAACTTAAATAACTTTTGGAGCAAAATTGTTGTAAACGAGCACAAACACTATTATCAATATGTCGTCAATTTGACGTCAACGCACTGACCAGTATATTTCGGAACAAATCAACAGTATGGCGTCGATTTATTACGTCATCAGCACTGGTCAGTATGCTGGGTTATATTTCGGAACACACCCATTGTCTGACTTCCTTAATACCTAAAATCAGTCCCTTCTTCTAATTTTTCGTCTCCTATCTTTACATTCGCTCTTTTTACTACTACTACTTTTTCTTCCCTTGCATACCAGTATTTTTGTTTTACTTTTATTTATATCATGTTGCTTAAAGTATTTTTATATTTTTTTTAAGCTCGCTTTTGAATTAAAGATGTACAACACGTTTTGATATAGAAATTGATGGCATTTACGTGCTTTGCGGGTAATTCCCTCGGATATCTTTCGCCAATTTTGAAACATTTAAAAAAATTCAATCGCCTCTGTAAGAAATACGAAAGTTAAATCCAAGATACTTTAACTCTCTGGCATGACTCGAGTTTCTGTTTCTTTTTTTTTCCTTGAGGTTAAATTACAAAATGAGAAAAAGATCGCTTTACATGAACAAATGATAGCAATTTGTAGTCGTTACAAAAAACAGCGTCGAGATCGAAGGCGGCTCGGGTAGGTTTTTTTTAAAGCATAATGCATTGTCGAATGTTTAACCTTACACATTAATCACGGTTAAAGGGTAATCTTTTTGCAATTTTATTTTATTTCGGAGGCGTATGTCTAACAGGAAACAAGTCGATTCATGCGGGATTTGTTAGTTGTGTTATACTGACAAATTTGTATTTTCCTTTCCAGTCACGCCGAAAATTACGATTAATGGGCAGGTATACCTATCGAAATCCAATCCTCTAACTAAAAATATTTTTCTTTTATCCGCGAATTCCAATAAATCTGGATTAAACATGAAATATTTTCCAAGTTGTCATAACTCACTATTATATTATCATGTACTATAACAATTTATGTTTCCACTGTTACATTTATTTATTTAGAATCTTTAAGTATAACATATTTTATTGTTAGTTGTTCGTCCTTGTTGTAATAATTCTTAATATTCTCGTAAATTGTGCTTTGAAAACTTTGAACAAGAAGAATTAGCTCTATAACTTCTCCAATTTTCCAAAATAAAAGGGAAAAGACAGAAAGATGCCAAAGGAATTTGAGATATTCATATTATTTAGAGGAAGTATTTTTAATGACCCTTTTACCTGCATTACCTATTGAGGCTCTAGATGAAAGAAATTTACATTTAACCATTGGCATTATCTTTTAAATCTACTGATAATTGTTAATTCTCTTTATACAAATTCTAGTTAGTCTCATTTACGAGACGGGGAAAATCTCAGAGGATTATAAACGGAACGTGATGGAAGTAACCATAGCTAAAAAGAAAGGCGCGGATGGGTGCGAGACATTTAGAACAATTAGCTTAATTTCCCATACGTCAAATATCAAACTGTCAACTAGAATTCTACAGAGGAGGATGGAAAAAAGGGCGTAAGAACTATTAGGGCAAGATCAATTTGGGCTTAGAAGAAATTTGGGCTTAGAAGAAATAGAGGAAGGCGAGAGATCATTCTAGCCGTAGGGGTAATAATAGAGAAAACGATAGAAAAAGGAAAGAGTGCGTGGATAGGATTTGTAGATTTAGAAAAAGCTTTTGACAATGTTAAATGGGACAAGATGTTAAATATACTTAAAAATGTAGAGATGAGTTACAAAAATAGAAGAGTGATACTTCACTACATAGTATAAAACAAAGTCGCTTCCCGCTGTCTGTCCTTATGTATGCTTAAATCTTTAAAAATACACAACGGATTTTGATGCGGTTTTTTTTAATAGATAGAGTGATTCAAGAGGAAGGTTTATATGTATAATACATGCATAATATGATAGAGAACGCTGATAATTTTAGGGGTTTCTAATGTGATGTCGTAAATAAACACATTGTTTGCGCATACGTTGCAAATGCTGGCTGAACCCTATGAGATCAAAATAATGTACTACAGTGTTATACATCTTAAGAAGGTCTACAAAAAAGTCCGCGATGGTATATGTCCTACTCTTAGGGATAATCCACAATAACCATTTCTTATCCTTTACTTTTTATGAAAAATAATGGCTTATTTACGAAGCGATTTTAAGCAATACAGCATTAATTCTTATCCAATTAGGTACCTTAGATACATTGTACATTTACTATAGTTCAATATGGCTCTTACAGTATGTAATTTAAATGAATATTTTCGAAGATATTACAGATTCAAAATGCAGGGACATAGCGGTTGCGGCGGTACCGTCCGGGAGACCGGTTTGTATTGTCTAATGACAAAAAAGCTGTGAATGTTGTATATAAATACATTCTGTAGTATATGTAGTATGTTCAGGGGGTGTCTTTTGAAGATTACCCCTCCTCGAGATTAATCTAACCAATAAAAAATTTATTTAGTATCAGCATTGCACCCGTGCGAAGCTGGGGCGGGTGGGTTGCTAGTAGTTTTATAAAGAGCAACAGTCAGTTATTGAGTTGGGACTTTTTAATTATACATCGAAGACGCGATCAACATCAATAACGACAGTACAACTGTAGGGATAGATATACAGGGGCAAAAAATTAGTATGCTTAGATTTAAGGATGTGGGTTGTTCTAGTTTTAGGGAAATGCGAAGATTAGCTCAGAACAAGAACGAGTGGAGGCACGTGTCTAACCAGTCTTAGGACTGACGACCTTGTTACATAAATATAGTGATAGTTCAATAACTACGTATAAAACTAAAGATTAATATACATCTTACTTTGCCTTTGGGTTTGTCCCATTTCTCAGCATTAAGACTCTGATCTGTCCATTCTGGAAAGGGCAAGTATGACTGGTCAGACCCAGTGTCCGGTGGAATTAATGGAACAAATGTATCAGCGAGGGATGATGCGCCTGTTCCACTACTTCCTTTACTTTTTCCTTTCCCTTTGGCTTTCGACATTTGTATGAATGTCTTACATTCGTCAAATTCACACTATTAATTATACAAATGACACGGTACATAATGATATGACATGTTTCATTTGTTTCCGAAAAATTCACAAATATGTTATAAATGAATCCAAAATGTCATAAGTATTAATAATTCATCTTGGAACACTATATTTCTTTTATTAAATTTATTGTCTTTTATTTTCCAGGGTCCAATACATATAAGCACCTATGCTGAGAGTTTCAATAAGTTGTAGGTAAGTCAATGATTTCCACAATTTTTAGCTAAATGGCTTAATTTTTACATATCATAACCTAAACTAGGTTGGATAGAGAAGATTACGTTATGATAGGTAAAAGTTCCTCGGGAATTTTTTCCTATATCCCCTCATAGGTGAAGCTCAAACTAACAATCAATAATTATTAAACTCGCAGGGTTACATATCTACCTATAAACTACATGTATAGCTAGGCCATTTTAAACCATTTCTATGATAGTAAGGTTTGAAAGCAGTGTTACGAAAGCTTTACTTTTTGAAAAACCTTTCCTCATTATCAACTTTGCATTGCGCCCAAAATATTTAAAAACGAAAATATGTATGAACGCACTTTATATGAACTTCTAATAACTAAAAATTGATTGGATTAACTTGCATCTGTAACATTAAGAAATTTAAGCCAAGGCCTAAATTACAAAGTTGCATAATCTTAATTGAATTTAAGTTAAGGGTGAAAATTGTAGGTACTATAGCGGCTTTATGTATTCAAATTTCTTTATAGATGACTGTACATCTTAGATGAATTTGTGGATCATCTCATGTTCAGCAATATATAAATTACACTTCGTTCTACGTAAATATATAAATAGATACATCTTTCAAATGGTTATAAATAATCAAATGAACTCATTTTTATCCTTTGTACTATCGTTTCCAATGTTGAATTAAAACTATTTCAAATAAAAACGACGAAAAGGGGTGAAATGTTATTTATTTAAACTGTAATCTTCAACTGTCGTTTCGCCTTATTAGTCGAAGGTTTTATCAAGGTATATTACTGAGTTATTGTATTACATTAGACGGAGACATGGAGAACCTTTTTTGTACAACCACCCGAATACTCAACAACAACAATACATAAAAACATACACAAACTCAAATTACAAATTAACACCCAATTTAAAATAATAAATAAATGTTAAAATAATAAATATTAATAAACAATTAAAATACACAACGAAAATAAAAAGCTGTGATTTTGTGTTTTTATTATTGTAGTTAAATTTTCGGGTGTTTGTACAAAGAAGGTTCTGCATCTCTCCGTCTGATGTAATACAATAACTCAGTAGGCAATATGCCTTGATCAAACCTTCGACCAAAAAGGCGAAATGTCAGTTAAAGATTACAGATTTGATCGCTTTTCATTGAAATAGTTCGAACTCATTTTTATTTTTCATTTTCTTTACAAAAATATATAGTAATCAAGGTTATATGAGTTTGAATTAACCTATTGAAGTAATCTTTACTCTTTGAACTCCATTACCTACATCGCCTGTGGTCAATAAACCCGATAAAATTTTAATGGTAAACATTTAAAATAATTACGTTTGCAGCCCACGAGTTGTTTGCACGTAATTACCATTTTATGTCAACATTACTAAATTGGCGTTCCATTAATTTCTTCCGCGTCTCTTCCTACTCGTTTTTCTCTGTTTCCCAGTTATGATGTCATTCCAAAAAATTGATTTTTTTATTAATTTTTTGTAAAGTAAGATATTTTTTCTCTCGAAATAATTTATTAAAATGCATCATAATCGGATGTGCAGATATAACTAAAATGAGAAGTAAAAAGAGTGTGCGACGACTGTCGCACGGCTCATATGCTCGTGAAATTCTGTGGACCAGAATTAAATTAAAGACTATTACCCAAAATTCCAAATAATACGTTACAAGATTTCAATTTCTAGCTAAAGATGGCAGTTTGGGTATTTTTGAACATTCTGTGTGGAATTTTTAAGAAAGGAAAAGAATTTAATGCATCAATTGAATTAATTTTTACTACCACAAGTAACCTCAAAATAATGAGGAAATCGGGAATCGAACTCGGGACCCTGGTTTACGCACCGTGGTTCTATCACTAAGCTATACTTCATTTACTTTTTCTAGCGATGTTCCCCTTTCAATGTCTTGGATGCGCTCATTATACTCTTGACTCTTGTTCATTAAACATACTTTTTCATACAGTACCTGCCAAAAGTTTTGTTCAATTATGAATAGTAGTGCGGTCGAAAACAAGCTTTAGAGCCTTTAATATGTCTTCAAATATAAATAAACATCTCGTTGATATTTTCAGTAGTAAATGGTACCAATAACAGCACATTTGAGCAATGCAATTGTAGTGGATAAAATGGTCAATTTTTCCGTGCAGTACTGTACGGATTATACGCTCCTCACCGGTTAAGAGTTTGGCCGAGAGTTGTCTCCCTTCTTTTCTGGCCTATTAGTGCTGTTCTTTTCTACTTTGCGCCGGTCAAACCGAAGGTCACATTGCTACAGAAGGTAAACGAAGTATACTATAGGTGACAGGAGCAACAACAATGATACGGGCCTAACTACGTAGGTCACAGATTCGTCGAACTAATGTATAATCATTATTAACAATAAGACATTTAGAATTCTAACTAACATTCTAAATATCTCATTGTTAGTAATAAGCTTTCTCTACGAATAAGACTAACATCACGGTAACTCATTGTTTTGTTTTTGTTTAATTTTCTCGAAGTACCTACTCATTCGTGTAACAAACTTTTAAACCTCCACTAGATTAATAATTAATCTAACAGATCCGACTAATTATTATTTAAACCAAATGAAGGGTGTCATTGCTTATTCCTTACATACTTCCGAGAGAAAATTTAGGCCTTTTCAGTGTGTCTGCCCAAAACTAGTTTCCAACTCGTAAATTTAAAGCAAAATGAGAAATGAGAACGGACAGTGTGGCCAATGGCAACATGCGAAATCTAATTTGAACAGTCAAGCATAGGTACCTTGGAGGGTTAATGCCGACGTAATCTAGTTGCCCAATTAGACCGCCTGAAATAAATCCCTTATCCGAAATGAAGCGCGTGATACAAATTACACTCAAGACAATTGCGTTATTAAATTTTTACGGACCCTTAATTGTGCCAAACCTATATATATATATAACTACTATCACTTTATTTGTCGTTATGTGCGATTATTGGAAGACGTCTAATTTAAAAAAGAGATTAACTGTAAAACTTCGGTGGTTCGTTGAAACGGGTAGAATAAAGTCGATAACCTTCTAAAAATAAAATTCAATTTTTATTTGTTCATGACCTTTCTTTATGTTTGAATTTTGTTCACTGTATAAATAATATTTTGGCACCAAAACAAACAGATTATTTGATAGTGTTTCTAATAATTATTATTAAACCCTTCGGATTCACTAAAATTCTAATAAAAATAAGGTCCATTCTCTCCATTGTAATTAAAAACAAGTTTTCGTACTGACAGAGACGTTAATAATAACTAGTAATTACTTTATTACAGGACATAGTAGAATTGCCATTGTTTAAATTTCACTTGTTTGTTGTATAATGAACGAATTTTATATATTTTTTTGCCAACACCAGAAGAACTCAGTCAACAATTTATTTTAACAATTTCGTGTTAGCCAATGAATAAAAACCTTTATTTACTCCAACAATAATTTAACTATAATTAATACATAATTTAGTAATATAATAATAATATTAGCTTACCTTATTGTATAATTGGGGAAGTAAATGACAGGAGAACTAACACAGGGTGAGTGAAGACGGAAAGCCGCCTCACCACCCTTCTCCATGATCTTCGATTCGACTCACAACCCGTCTCGATCATTATTAATTTCGCTATTTAAACGGTCGCTAATTGACCTACTAACACAATAGGTAAGTGTGTTTTATCTTGCAATTTTGAATAAATAATTTAGAAGAACCAACTTTGTACCAGTGTCTTAAATAAGAATTTTTCGATAATTTTCAAAGTAAACAATTAATTGCCTAAATCATTAAAGAAAACGTCCTTTGCACCATAATTCATTTTCGTTTCATGTGTATGAAATTTAAAGAGGAAAAGTTCTGAATGTTCCTTATTGATCACTAAAAATTTCCAGTAAAAAAGGAAACGTATTCAAAAAATTTGAACATTATTTGAACTGGATGGCAAGTGTCTATTACTAAAATATCAAACTTATGATATCCTCCAGGAATAATATATATTTCAAGATTGGATGCTGTCTACATAAAGCAATTTATTTTAATTATTTATATTATATATTTCTCATAAATATTTCCCATCTTGTTAAGTAGGTACGTCTTCTCAATTTTAAAAATAACTAAAAATAGCTTCTGGAAGGGACGATCACATTAAACAAGCAAAAATGGATGGAATAAAAAATAAAAAGTCAGCATAGGCTGTGCGTTGAATCTTACTGTGACATTTTATGAACAAAAAAACTAAATGTGTCATGTCTGGACGGTCCCGTACCATAAAACGAAATGTAATGTTACAATCAAATATTAAAACGGTCTCGTCCTTATGTATAATGATATATATAAGTAACATTTCGTTCTGCTATCTGTTATATTCCAATATTCATATCTGCGTTCCTCTTCAGTAAATTTTTTGTCGCTCCCTTCCGTAGATTCTGCTTCTAAGGCAATTTTCTTTTCAGAGAAAAATTCAACGACGAAACGTTTTACATACTTTTATAATGGAGAAAATTTTTCTAAAACCCTTTAAAGAACACTTTTTTTAGTTTGCTAAATTTTATACTCATGAACTTTTTTGTATTAAATTAACTCACAAAGTCGGAAAACTTACTTTCTTATTGAGCTTCATCAACTAGGATGGTCGATTTAATTACTAAAACTTTAAACCTGTAGCTAATCTTATACTTATTAAAGCAAGAAAATCGCTTATTGAATTAAAAAAAAATTAAGTATTACCCGATTAACTATTTACTGCGTTAGGGATATAAAATAGATACATATATAAAT